CCACCAAAACTCAATATTATTTTGAAACTTTTTTTTTCATTTTGTATTAGAAGACCAAGTTAGAAAGGAAACTAATTGGGAGCCGAATCAAGGGAGGTTGGAGCGAATCTACGCGGATTGAGGCTGGTAATACCAATCATTTTCAACTACATATTCCCTCAGCTGAACTATATAATATTGAATCAGGATAATCGGCCCCGCTTGCGCAGGGCACACAAAAAATTGGTCGTTAGACTCATAATGTGTCCCCCTCCACGGAAATCTTTAGTAAAAGGCGAAAGATTTTTTCGTTTTGAAGGGAGACCAGAGTGCCAGATACTGGACTCGGATCCGGAGTAGTCAAAATCGTACCGCTGGCCACAACCGCGAGGGACTGGACGGCAAGCGACCGCAGCGCCACCTGCGCCTCGCAGTGCCTGTTGTTTGAAGCTCACGGCACACTGTGGGACGGAAGACCGGTGGACGGCGGCGAAAACTCTAGGGGCTCGGAGCGTAAAAGGACTCAACCCCAACGCGACTCTGGACCAAAGGGTCTAGCGGTTTTAGCTTCCGCATTGTGCAAGCTCAAGTTAGGGGTTCCAACTAGCAGCCAGGGGTGGCTTTTTACATTTCCTAACATTTAACTGTACAGCGATGCTAAATAGTTATGCACACCGTACGTACTTATGTATGTCCATGCAAAAGAAAGTGTCTTGGATTGTCCTAAGTATGTTAAGAAGTAAATAAAGGTATCATCTGCTAAAAATAGTTTAGTGTATACTGTTGTCGTTGACTGCACTCAAATCGACACGTCATTGAACAAACACTCAGTAACGTACACGTCAGTGTGTGAAGGACGAAAATGAACACAAAAACTGGGAGAGAAGACGGTGCCACACCGGGCAACTTTGGGCGTTTCCTAAAATTAGGGAAGGAGACCAACCCTGCGTGTTTGAAATAAGGTTTGCAGTGGAGAGATTATCCGGGACAGCGCGAACGCAGTCCCGACTATCAAAAATTATACATCCGAGGTATCCACATTTGGGATACTCGCAGAGGTCAGCCCATCCGAAGTGCAATGGAAAGGCCTCGCCCTGGAAGAACCGCCTTGATGATCACGGTTAACTTCTATGCCAGGTAAGTATGCTCGTTGTACTTCCGAGATTGGATATAACCCAGGCGGCCACCGGGGTGACCCGTGTGCACACACTCGCAAACGCCACCGTCAAGTTGTTCTTCGCGTGGCGTTGCTCCAAGCAGCAGCGGGAAACCAAATCCAATCCGTCAGGATTTTCCCGCCTTTCAAGTTGCGTCCAGGAAGTCTTCCCAACGGCGCACACTATTTAGAAATATTAAATTTTTAGTGACGCAAGTCAAGGGAGCAGCATCACGTCATCTGGTGGCGACGGCGGCAACTGCAGTGCACAGTGGGCCAGAAGACCGGTAGAGGAGGTCGAAATCTCGGACGCGTTTTCAGCTGCAGTCACTAAATGTGCCTCGAAGCGGACGTGTGACCTCACCAACGAATTGCTCTTCACGCGCTCTGTTCAAGTGCTGTTTAGCAGATCTGGAGGTCTAAACGCGTCTTTAGTTTTGGCCGCCGGTGCCGGGCTTCTGGCCCACTGTGCGGCGGCGACGAACGACCCCCGGGGGCGCCCCCGCAGGGATCTATTTCCCGTCCCCCCTTTTTTTTAAAAAAAAAAAAAACCCCCGGGGGTTAAAAAAAAGGAGTAACCCCCGGAAGAAAGGGGGGGAGGGTTTTG